AACAAGGGTACTGGTACATCACTGGAATTTGAATGGTTATATGGTATCGTTTTTTTCAGCCGGCAATCGACTTTCTTGTAAAAGCAATCCTAGTGGCTAATTAGCTGCAGGACTGCTTTTAAAAGCAGCAGGAGGCGATGCCCCCCCTCCCCTCTGTCTTCCACTGCCTCCTCGTGCAGTCCCATGCCACCGGGGGAACCTGAGAATGCAGCCAATGTTTCTGCCAGCTGACCATAGAGCTGATTGGAGACCAGAATGGTGGCAATCGTCTCTATAGTCTAAGAAATAGGAAGCTACAAGCATTTCATCACTTCAGTTTCGGAGGATATAAACAGCGCCATTTGTAAATTGGGAAAGCATCTGATCACACTGATGTTAGTGAGATTAGATAATGTAAGGGCAGAGGGGATATCTAGAGTCTGATAGACTTCTCAAAAAAGAATATATGACAATACCCATTGAAGTTATAGGGGATATTTGCATTCCCTGCGATAGCATTACAAGTGAACAAAAAAAAAAATGAAAGGGACAGTGTAAAAATAATTTAAAAAATCAAAATAACTTTAAAAAAAAAGCACCCTCGCCAAACGCCCCCCCCCACGCTCCCACGCACCTACTTGCTCGAGCTTTGACCCTGTGCCGGTATGTAAACAGCGGTTGCACCATGCATGTGAGGTATCGCCACGAACATCAGATCAAGGGCAATAATTCTAGCACTAAACCTCCTCTGCAAATCTAAAATGGTAGCTTTTAAAAGCTTTTAAATTGTTGCCTATGGATATTACATTGCCATTGCATGGGGCATGCGCAGTTTTGCAGCATGTCATGTTTGGTATATATTTACTCGGCATACCATCATCTTTTATATTTTACCAAAATATTGCCAATATATTGTGTTTTTGAATATTAAAAATAAAAAAAGTGTATTTTTAAAAAATAATTTACGTTTGAAAAATTGCTGCGCGAATACTATGTGACATAAAAATTGCAGCACCCACCATTTTATTCACTAGGGTGTCTGCTTTAAAAACAATGTAATGTTTTGGGGTTCAAAGTAAGTAAAAATAAAATAAATAAAATACTGATTTTTTTCATGTGAACAAAAAGTGTCAGAAAAGTCTTGGTCTTCAGGTGGTTAGAAGAGTGAATGATGTGTGGCATAAACTTCTAATGCTGGGCATAGAATGCCCCCACCCCCAAAAAGACGCCTCTTTAGGAAAGTATTTGCTGAGAGGCAATAGAAGAATTAATTTTTTTACCACAAATTTTTGGAAAATTACAAATAAAAAAATTTTTTTTTACACACAATTGTCAGTTAAATGATTTATTGCTCACACATGCCATGGGTATATGTGGAATCACTCGGCAAAATACATTCTGCTACTTCTCCCGAGTATGGGGGTACCACATGTGAGAGACGTTTTGTCAGTCTAGCCAAGTACAGGATCCCAAAATCCAATAAGCACCTACAGGCTTTTAAAGGGCTTTAATTGCTCATTACACTTCCTGACTACCTATCACAGTTTTGGAGGCCCTGAAATGTCAGGATAGCACCAACCCCCCCCCCCCCCAAATAACCACTTTTTGGAAAGTAGACACCCCAAGGAATTTGATAAGAAGCATGATGAGTATTTTGCAGATCTAATTTGTTGCCACAAGTTTTTGGGAAATGAAACAAATGAAACAAAATGAAAATTGGAAAATGAAAATGAAACAAATGAAACAAAAACATATTTTTTCTTTTTTTTTTTATATTTCAAAACCTTGTGAGAAAAAATTAGATCTGCAAAATACTCACCATGCCTCTTTTTTAATTCCTTGGGGTATCTACTTTCCAAAAAGGGGTCATTTGGGGGGGTTTGGTGCTATTCTGGCATTTTAGGGCCTCTGAAACTGTGATAGGTAGTGAGGAAGTGAAATGAGGAAGTTATGCACCATCAGGCTTTCAAAGTGGTCATTGGATTTCAGGCTCCTGTATGTGGCTAGGCTCCCAAAAAGTCTCACACATGTGGCATCCCCATACTTGGTAGCAGAATGTATTTTGTGGTGTAATTCCACATATACCCATGGCTTTTGTGAGAAATATATAATTTAAAACTAGAAAAGCTACAATTTCTGGGAAAATTGCATGAAGTGTTCTTGCCTCCACCAGTAGTCTACAACTGGAGTGGGCAGAGTAGCTGGGTGGAGTGGCTTGAGTAACTATTGTGTGGTTGGAGTGGCTGGAGTAACTGTGAAAAGGTTGGACTGGGCAGAGTAACTTTATGGAGTGGGCAGAGTAACTGTGTGGAGTGTTTGGAGTGATTGATCAAATTTAAAAAGTGCACATGGCAAGTTTGATAGAGTGAGAAAATGAATTTCAACTTTTATTTTTCAGCTCATACTCTAGCTTTTGTCACTCTGTTGCCTGCTCACACACCTGGGTTCCTATGGCAACTCACTCTACAGCAAGGGCAGAGAAGAGTGGTTAAAAACAAACTGCTCCAACTTGATCACTTCACATTGCGATCTTCAAATGGTTGTAGTTTAAAAATTATAAATCCTACCAAAGAGCTATATATTGTGAGAATCACAAGTCCCAGACCTACATTTTGATGCATAGTATGTCTCTGAAATATTAAAAATGAAGGCACAGTCACAGTTTAGAAATTGCCCTTCAAATTTGAGGTGGCTAGAGTGGAGTTTCAATGAATGTCAATGGGCGGCGTGAGTTGCAAACAAATGGTCATATTGTGAAAACTATCAGGACTATGTCTTAGCTGTGGACATTTTTAGTGGCAGCAGGGATAGCTGAACGTTTTGATATAAGATTTGTGTAGGTGGGCTTGAAAATGAGGGAGCGATGGCAGTTTAGAAATCATGTCCTGATTTTTCAGCTCACACTCTAGCTTTTGTCAGCTCCCACTCTAGTTTTGAACATTCTGCCATTCATTCCTATGGGACCAATTTTACCACAAAAATGACGATATTTCGTGAACCATTCTGCAAAACCTTCCACAAAGTAATAGCACACCAATCGGGAACAATCCGCACGTTTCGGTATATTACTGTCTATGTCGTGTAAAAACTGTGGGAGGAGTCAGGGTGGTAAATTTGGCTATAATAATAAGAATATATATGTGAGATAACAGTAAGTGGTCTTGCCATGCAAGAACACTTAATGACAACTTTGTGCAAAAAAAAAAAAAAAATGTTTTTGTCATTTTCCAAAAACTTGTGAAAATAAAATAAATCTTCCATGGACTCTGCAGATAGCTTAGGGTGTCTACTTTCCGAAAAAGGGGTCATTTGGGGGTGTTTGTACTGGCCTGGTATTTTAGCACCTCAAGAAATGTGATGGGCAGTCAGAAAGTAAAAGCTGTGTAAATTCCATTATGTATACCATAGTTTGTAGACGCTATAACTTTCACACAAAGCAAGCAATATACACTTATTGGGATTTTTTAACCAAAAAACTGTAGCAGAATACATTTTGGCCTAAATTTATGATGAAATTTTAGTTTTTTAGATATTTTTCATGACAGAAATGAGAAAATATTGTTTTTCTTTTTTTTTTCAAACCTTTTTTTATTTATAGCACCAAAAATAAAAAGCGAGCAGGTGATGAAATACCACCAAAAGAAAGCTCAATTTGTGTGAAAAAAGGACATAAATTTCATTTATTGGGATTTTTTTTTACCAAAAACATGTAGCAGAATACATTTATGACTAACTTTGAGCTTACTATATATTTTTTATAGCCGAAAGTAAAAAAAAAATTGTTTTTCTGCAAAATTTTCGGTATTTTTTTGTTTATAGCGTGAAAAATAAAAAGTACACAGGTGATCAAATACCTCTGAAAGAAAGCCCTGTTTGTGTGAAAAAAAGGATGTAAATTTCGTTTGGGTACAGCATTGCATGACCACGAAATTATCAGTTGAAATAGTACAGCGCTGAATAGCAAAAAGAGGCCTGGTCATTAAGGGGGGTAAATCCTGAGGATGGCAAGTGATTAATACAAAATAAATGATCTTCCTACTAGATAATTGGTATGTATTCCAGCCCCATGCATACATTAAGCTAATTTTATATATTTATTTATGTTTATTTATTAAGTACATTTGAAAGGACAAGAGATGCTTAATGTGGTACTAAACCTAGGACCCTGCATTCATTATATCTGGTCTCCCACAGTACACAGAACATGGAAGTGGAATTATTTTAGTAAATATAAACTGCTAAATACATTTTCATATCAGCAGTTAAAGCAGTCTTGTGACGTCTATCAGTATCCAGCAGAGCACATGTTAAAGCTTGTAGGAGGAGTTTTCATTCTGCTTTAGGAAGATACAGAACCCTTGACCTCTGTCTGGACAGCGCTGATTGGCCCTGTGCTGATCATATGCACTCTCCCAAGAAAAGAAAAACCTGAGCATGTGCAGAGTGACTCCACACAATATGTCTTATCAGGAGTTAAGAGGGGACCACTGGAAGAAGGGGAGGATCAGAGAAGTCAGGATCAAACAGCCTTTTTACACAATGCAGAGGTTTAACCCCTTAGGTTCCATAGTGAGTATAACAAGCATGCTTTACTGACTCATTTGACAGTTGTGGGTTTAGTAACACTTTAATTGGGTACATATAGACAGAGATTGATGTGCGATATAAACATTTTAGACACAATCCTGTTTTGCATCGATTTTGTGGACCTAGGGAGAATTACATCATAAGGGATCAAGTGGATCTGGTGACAAAATATCATACTGAAGATTATTCAGATTTGCTTAAAAGGCAGAAGAAAATGAAGAAATCCTATCACTTTTAACCATTTGCCGCCCACCCTATGGCCGAATGGCGGCCAGGAAATGTCATCAGCGTTCTGGGTGGACGCCATATGGCGCCCTCCCGCACATGCGCAGATTGCGCTCCTGCAGAGCCGCGCAGCGGCGCGATCTGTCACCGGCCGTGTACCTCGGACACGGCCGATGACAGATCTGAGTACTGGCCCCCGTTGCCGGTACCATGTGACCTGCTGTGACCAATCACAGCAGGTCACATGACAGTTGTATACAATGGATGGCTTCATTCCTGCCATCGATTGTATACTAGTGTCTAGCTGTGAATGGTCACAGCTAATCACATGCACATGTCATGTGATTAGCTGTGGCCAAATCACAGCTAAGCACAAAAAGAAAAAAAAAAAAAACCCTAAATGAATCGATGTCATTCAGGTAAATGCTTGCTATAAGCAAATTGTGTAAAAAAAAAAAATACTGATCACTTCCCCAAAGTAGTACAATGTTACTATGGTAACATTGTACTACTTTGGTCATAGTGAAAAAGGGGTCATTTGGGGATATCTGTACTGTTCTGACATTCTTGGACCTCAAGAAATTAGATTGGCTGTCAGTGCTTCAGGATTGATCAATATTCAGATCTATACCATAGTTTGTGAACTCTTTCCTACAAACTAAAAAATACATCCCAATATGGGTTATTTTCACCAAAGACATGTAGCAGAATACATCTTGGCCTAAATTTATGAAGAACAATTATTTATTTGCAAAGTTTTATAACAGAAACAAAAAAAAAACGTGTGTTTTTTTCAAAAGTTTTGGTCTTTTTTTGTTAATTTAGCAAAAAATAAAAACCCCAGCGGTGATTAAATACCACCAAAAGAAAGCTCTAGTTGTGTGAAGAAAATGATAAAATTTTAGTTTGGGTACAATGTTGTATGACCGTGCAATTGTCATTCAAAGTGGGAGAGCGCTGCAACCTGAAAACTGGCCTGGGCAGGAAGGTATAAAAGTGCCCGGTATTGAATTGGTTAATAACTACTAAATAGTCTATAATTGGGTGATTGCCTTCATGCACTAAATGGGGACTGTACATGTTGGGTGAACAAAGGTTTGTTGACGGGTCTGATTTATTTCTGAGCAATTTCTGATTCCTCCATCATTTGCAGTTTTATATTTGTGAGCCCTAAGCTACAGAAAAGAGGGTTTCTTTTCTTATACCTTCCACCAGAAACAAACTAAGGTTAAAAGGGACCTAGACAAGGTATTGGCTTTACAACCCACACCATTTTTTTTTTTCGTTGACAGTGATAAAAATTGGGATAAGAATCAGCCCTATTGTATTGTCTGTACTGGCATTGCCAGAACTCTTAGGCACTCAAAGTGGCCATACACTAATAGATTTCTTTTGTTCAGCCTGCGGACTGAGTAAAATAAATATCATGTTTCCTTCATTCACACAAATGGCATGGATGGATGAATTCCCGTGCTGGGCTATTGTATTTTTACAGCTGCCCAGCTATCAGAATACCTGAACCATGCCTGCAGATGACTGGCTGCAGACACTGTTCAGTCAACAATTTTAGCATGGCTCCTTTAATTAAAGTTGATTAAGTAATCATCATTTGTTGACTTGGCAAGGGCACCTGCTGTTAGAATTTCAGACAATTGCTCAGAATCAGCCAAACATTCTAACAGTATATGGCCAGACTACCTGCCCTCAAGTGATGCTCCCTTGTGACCTGACAGCTGGTGCACAGCTTTGACCAATTGTTCTTTTTCCCTGTTTTACTGCAAGAGCATGAATATTGATCTGGGTCCTCTGGATATCCATTGGGCCATAGGGTCCTGTCTCGGTTGTGTTGTGGATGATCTGGCTACGTTATTCCTCGTTCTTTGACAACCTACATAGATTCTTTTTTTTGGTAGTGGACTTTCTGTATGTATTTATTACATAACAGTACATAACTAGGCTAATTTTTAAATGCCATGCATGCATGATTGTGTACATAGCCCCCTCCCCGCCCAAAAGTTTATATAGGATTGACTAAGCAAATAGCTGATAGGGGGCTTAGCAATAAATGCTTAGCTCTCTTATGGCCCATGTGTCTGCCATAATTGCTGCAGCTCCTTTTTCCCCACAACGGTAGCATTATATCTTTTAAAAAGGATCAATCATAAAATAATTGTAGCTGAACACCATATGTAAGATGAAATGGTAGTAAATTACAGTTACCCTTTAATCCCGCTTCCCTGTTCAGGTAATATGTGCCCTACACTCTCTTTCATCTACAGCTGGCTTCAAAATGTATTTTGCAGTTATTGTCATCATCAATTTAAACACTTAGAAAACAATAGTTTATCGCTAGCAAGGATTTAGAAAGGTTCCCATTTCTGAGACATTCCCTACCATATAATTTCACACAATGCACTTGTCAGAGCGAATGTTTTAATTACTTTTAGTAAAGCTGCTATTTATCACTGGTGATGGGCTGTAAATCATGCATTAATCCTCAGTTTAAGGACCTTAATAGCCCTGTTTAATAGTTTTAGCACACCAGAGGCACTCAACCTATGCTATTCAGTCAGACACTTTAGCAGTGAGCCAAGGCTTAAATTTTTCCCCCTCAGTCTTTTATCTCTGTATTTGAGACCATTTCTCAAATTCATACATTCTGTGAAACGCTTGGGCTAGATGACAGATATTTTATGGACATTGTGCTTCCTGTGAGCTATGACATAAAAGCTATATGTGTTCCTCGGATGATTTTCCTTCACATAAAACTGAGTTAATGCACACCTGGCACCATTAAAGAAATGTTTATTCGTTTCTTAATGTATGCGGAAACATTTTACAAATGTGAGTTTGTAATAAAAGTGGAAATGTAACACAGAGGGGCTGCAATGTATGTAAATGTCAAATACACATTGACAGCAGAAATGATTATTGTTTTGTTTCTGCAAGTCCTTAAAAATAACTTTAAATATATGATGAGCTGTGATGTTCTGTATTCCTAAATTGCTTTAACAAAAAGTTCAAATGGTCATATTTATAGACAGTTCTGGAGGAAAGAAATTTGATAAATATTCCCTGGCAAAGGAATGATTTCCATTTAATGTTCACTCTGCAGAGCTCTGAAATGTAAAATGCTAGGGAGTCAAAATCTTTTGAAATATTTACAGATACTGTATATACCCTCACAGGCAAGGGTAAATGTGTAGCTGTATAGTAAACCATGTACTGATATACCCATAGGTAGACCATCCATTGTTGGAGAATAAACCCACCTGCCAACTGGTCATTAATTTTACTTTGAGGTTCATATGCTTGCTTTTAGATTTCTTCTATAACCACATATACACTATACTGCCAAAAATATTGGGACACCCCTCCAAATCACTGGATTCAGGTGTTCCAATCACCTCCATGGCCACAGGTGTATAAAATCAAGCACCTAGACATGCAGACTGCTTCTACAAACATTTTTGAAAGAATGGGTCACTCTCAGGAGCTCAGTGAATTCAAGCGTGGTACCATGACAGGTTGACACCTTTGCAATAAGTCCATCCGTGAAATTTCCTTGCTACTAAATATTTCATGGTCAACTGTTAGTGGTATTATAACAAAGCAATTGGGAACAACAGCAACTCAGCCATGAAGTGGTAGGCCACGTAAAATGACAGAGTGGGGTCAGCGCATGCTGAAGCGCACAGTGCGCAGAAGTCACCAACTGTCTGCAGAGTCAGCAGCTAAAGACCTCCAAACTTCCTGTGGCCTTCAGATTAGCACAACAACAGTACGTAGAAAGCTTCATGGAATGGACTCTACAGCAGTGGAGATGTGACAAATCATGCTTCTATGTCTGGAAATATGATGGACATGTCTTGGTTTGGCAGTTTCCAGGAGAACGGTATGTGGCTGACTGCAGTGTGCCAAGAGTAAAGTTTGGTGGAGGGGAGATTATGGTATGGGGTTGTTTTGCAGGGGTTGGGCTTGGCCCCTTAGTTCCAGTGAAGGGAACTCTTAAGGCATAGGCATACCAAGACATTTTGGACAATTTCATGCTCCCAACTTTGTGGGAAGAGTTTGGGGATAGCCCCTTGCTGTTCCAACATGACTGCGCACCAGTACACAAAGCAAGGTCCATAAAGACATGAATGAGTGAGTTTGGGTAGGAGGAACTTGACTGGTCTGCACAGAGTCCTGACCTCAACCCGATAGAACACTTTTTGGATAAATTAGAGCGGAGACTACGAGCAAGACCTTCTCGTCCAACATCAGTGCCTGGTCTCACAAATACACTTCTGGAAGAATGGTTAAAGGTTCCCATAGACACACTCCTAAACCTTGTGGACATCCTTCCCAGAAGAGTTGAAGCTGTTATAGCTGCAAATGGTGAGCCAACTCAATATTGAACCCTACAGACTAAGACTGAGATGCCATTAAAGTTCATGTGCATGTAAAAGCAGGTGTCCCAATACTTTTGGCAATATAGTATATATCGTTAGTGCTAGTGAAATTTGATGACATCCTTCTCAGTATTATATTAGGAGACAGATGTCTAAGAAGTGCAGTCAGTGCAGATGGGTTTATTCCTTTAATTATGATCCTTGGGGTGGATGTTTACCCTTGCATCAACTATCAGTGGTTAGCATTGTGACGGAATGCTGTGCCCGACCCCTGCCCTTCTCAGCAACTCCTGACCGAAGGACCAGCCAATCTCGCACTGCGCTGTCACTTGCGTAACAATGCCACTCTCAGCTGCGCCCTGCACAAAGATTTTCCAGCTTGGGGACCACAATCTATGTGCCAGCAGCCTGATAGCGATTGTTACTGGGTTAGGTTAACTACGCAATTAACCCTTCACACTGCCACCACCACCTTTTTACAGAGAAGGAGAAAACTCACAAATGCTAGCAATAACACTATGATATTAGCTAAGCGTCTGTAACACACACTGTCACCACAGACAACTATGTTCAGAGGATTATTACATACAGTAACACTCTTCAAGAAAAAAAGAATTATTTAGTTTGCATTAAAAGCTTTAGAGACAGTTTCAACACTTTTCAAAATAAGGTTTATTACTAAAAAGGTCAAAATGGTGCAATTAAAATATTTACAGAAAAAGATGTTACAAAAACATAAAGAGAACAATAAAGCAACAGAGAAATAAAAGAAAGGAATTAAGAAGGCAGAATACTTGCAAAGTCCTTGGTTTAGCAGAGTTCAAATGTCTGAGCAAAAAT